TTTGATATTGTAATTTTAAGCAGGGGATGATCCCCGATAAACCTCTGTGGTTTTTGATCACCCCCTCTGCAGGTTCATCTTTTGTTGTAATACTTTTATATTTGATTGTAATTTACATTGTCTTTTATGAATCTGTGGAAATAAATGAAATTGAATTGAAATAACAAATAACATTGATTTAGAAACTCATTAATTCTATGGTACATTTAGGCTCCTCTACTATTAACGCTACAAAAACGTGAAAAAACTCATTACAATTGAACTGTAGAAATTGACAAAAGTTGAAGCCAATTCATATGGTGAGATTGGTTTCAATCAAGAAATTCGTTTCATACCATACGTATACCTTACAAAGGAATAAATTGCATTGTAATTTTCGTCATATGGAGGTCTCGAGGCCTAGTGGATACGTCAACGGACTGTGGATCACATGGTTTGCGGTTCGAGTCCCGCCACGACACTACTGTCATTTTTCAAGACATTGATCTACATGTGCTACCCTCCATCCAGGTGAGGTGAATGGGTACCCGGTAGGAAGATATTTCTCGAATGGTTTAGCGCCTTATTATGGCGGCTCAGTACAGCTATACAGCCGGGGTAGTGGTATGATACTTCTTATTGTAGCTGCGCTATGTAAATGGATTCATTATTATTATTGTATTATTCACTTACTATACCAGATACCCGTACACGGAATGCCGAAATTTGTAAAGTACTTAAGTAAGTAAAGTTTTAACACGATCGGAATTACATGAATTACTATTGATCGTCTTCTGAACATTGACATCTCATTTGAAATCTATATAGTTTCCATGTATTCGGTCATGTGATATTTTTAGTCCATATTTGTTCAGAGACTAATGCCTTGTAATAAAATGTACGATGTGAATGAACTGGAGACGCCAAGGCTCAGTTGTACAGCAGTAGTCTCGTCGCCGGGAGGTCCCGGGTTCGAAGCCAATTCGATGCGTATAGTGCCCTATGGTAAGGCATTAATCCTCATTACCAAGTCCCTCGGAGAGAACTTAAAGCCGTCGGACCCTTGGTTGCGTACTTACAAGCATACGCAGGCTTTCTCATACCAGTCAAGTAAAACAAACTATCAAATTTGTCCTAATAAATAAAAGTATAAAAGCAACTTAATCACACAAATTGTTGGTTTTAACTTTTTCCGGCATGTCATATTTCACCGATTAGTACATTGTTATAACAAATTTATGGACTTGTAATCAAATCATATACAATTATTTTGACATGTATGGGTCAGGTTAGGAATAGACAAAGATCATCACGCTTAGGCAAGTAGCTATACCGTATAGATAGTTTGCTATCAAGGTTGGAATTCACTTAGAGTCTTTTCTATCATGCTGCACATGTATAATAAACCCTTTTCGACAATAATTTTAGTGGATGAACCAAATCCATCAAAAAAAATCTTAACAATTTCTGTATTATATGTATACTCTTTTGTCAACAAAATATATTGTCAAAAGGAGGTCGCTTATTTGCGGAGAGAATAATACGTACTTCACGCATGGGTTATCAATAAGTGTCTTTAATCACACCGCAATGCAGGGACAGACAACGTTTAACACGCAGCAGGGAGATGTGACTTTACATTTCCTTGGCTTAGGCAAGTAGTTCAAGAGTAGTTGCTTTCGAGGTTGTTGTGCAGGTACAATAAACCCTATTCGACAATAATTTTAGGGGATGAACCAAATCCAAAAAAATTGATCATAACAATTTGTTATTATCTGTATTCTTATGTAAGAGAAATATATATTGCCAACAGGAGGAAGGTTATTTGCGTAGAGAATTACGTACTTCATGCATGGGTTATCAGGGAGTTTGGTCAATCAGTCCGCAATTCAGGGACAGAAAAAAATTCTCACGCTTTGGCAAAATACCATTATTTACCAAATTCCCCAAACTGAACCGTTGTTTGTTTATCAATTCATATAATTTCTATATAAAATGTCTTTACATTGAATATGTGGTTGATGAATTACCTGCAAAATTACAAAATGTCAATATTTGGTGACAAGCTGTGACACTTGTCAGACTTAAGTGGTTTTCGTTTTAATTTTTCGAAATGATTTGTTTTGACAGGTGGTTCGATGACATGACATTTTATAAGCCTTTGTTTCTCAGTGAAATAAATGTGAATCAGCGATCCGAACAATAGGGAAAGTTTATTAAATGAAAATGATCCAAAGGCTCTTCGGAAACTACTAAGAGTATTGTTTTCGGTTTGTGCATGTTCGTAAGATAGGATGCTGATGGATAGGTTGCATCGATGTACATGTAGATATGGCTTTCAGTCCTATCCGAGAGACCAGACAAATATAGAGAAATACAAACTACCAGGGGCAATTTGTACACAGCGTGGGTTTTGAACACGGGGACATCGGAGAAGCGGGACTGCACCAAAGCCATCTATATACAGAGTTTGGCCATCTGGGTTTCACTGGGTCACAACATGGCGTATATTATTTTGTTTTGTGCTTGCCCAACAAAGCAGTGGTCGCCATATTGTATCCAACTCGAACCGGGTTGACCAGATGGCTCTGGACTGCACTACTTACTTGCGCCCTCTATATGGCAAACAATGCCTAAGCGGTACCCGTTGGTCCCCCATAATCCCCTTTTTCCTATGTAAATTGAGAGCTGATTTGAGGGGGTAACCACCTGTTTGTGACCACGCTTGGAGGTCTAATCCCTCCAGGCTTTGGCCTCAGTCATCCCCCTTAAGTCAATGCAACGGATAATTAATAGTGAAGACTTTTTTCACATTATTTTTGTTTGTAGTTTCTCTATCAATTCTTGCACATAATGTAGATCATAAACTGAGCCATGTATTGTTCACAAGTTTGTGATTTCCCCATACCCCCACCTCCAAAAACATATTTTGATTAGTGAGAAAATAAATTCCCATTGACATCGTTTCATTTGAACTGTAATGGTGTATATATTTCTAAACACTCTACACTTTACGTTTTAGAAAATGGAACGCTACCATAATTATGTACGGTCACATCAGTTATAATTATTTTCACCCCTTTCGGGACCCTAACTGAAGAAGATAAACATACATGCATTTATGCATATCGTCTAAAGAGGAGCAATTGAAAGCAAAACAACTCGTAAGGTAGAGTTTGTGGAAAGGCTTAATCGTGTTTAGATTTCTATTTATCCAGTATTTATCAAGAAGGCCCGAACAGAAGAGAGAAAGCGATGTAGCTTGCGTATACAGTTAACAATTTATACCCCTTGTAAATATGACGTTTTATGTGTTTTTATAACCCAAGTATGAAAGGTGGACTGGGTGAATCAGGAACTTTGTTGAATACTTTGATATGTAAGCTTTAATATGTCACATTCTCAAGAAACCTATATTGGGACAAATATTTTGTTCACATACTTCAAAATTACAAACTTTGATATGGGTATGAACGGGTAGTTTTTAACGGTCTATATTATGGACTCTAATCGATAACTCCTTTATAAAGAGTTTTTTCTTTCCTTTCACTATACCTTTACTAAAGCATTACAATTTAGAATTCATGACATTGCATTTTGCCAAGTGAATCACAAACTTTGGAAAATTGTCCCCTGAGAAATTTAGTTTCTGGATCAATCCTTCTGATTGCCTCAACATTCCAAGAAGAAAAAAAAGTAACGTATTTTCAAATGAGATGAGCTGATACTAACGATAATTTAATTGTTGAGCCTTCCGAGAGAGAAAAATAAGTTGTTTTAATGTTGAAATAATAACGTTTGTCACCTGGTCCTTCAATAGTGATGTTGTGAAACTTGTCTATAAAGACCACCCAATCCAAACCAGACTCAAGAGATATCATGCAATCTACACATTTTCAGTGATTTCCATCTGGTTTGCTAAGTTTGAGTTAATTTTGTATAATATTATTTGTTGAGGGGTTCGCACTCTACAAGCCATGTTTTTTTTTATTAGATCCCTCCATTTACACATGATATGTGACATTTAAAATGGCATTTTTTGTTTAAATACTCTGTATGTATTGTATATGTTTTTTTTTATAAAGAATGAAATAAATACCATGTGAAAAGACAGCATTTTTTTAAAAATTTAGATTGTATGATATGATTATCATGTAATTCCTTGTAACTTAATTAAGGATAATATAAATGATGTTTTTTGATATATATGCAAAGAAAAATAACATGTGCTCTTGTAATTACATTTGTATACTTTGTAAAATGTTGTTTGTAGTTTAATTATTGTATGTAATTTTTATTTTTCTTGTTGAAAATGGAAACACAAAATTTGAACTTGAAATTTGAACTTGAGTGCGGAACAAGCATTGAACTCCTGTAAGGCTGTAACAATATCATAAAGATGGAGGGAAAAAAAACTTGGATTAAACACAAAATAAGCGTAGACCTATACTTTGAATTCATATCCGAAATCCAAAGCATTTTGCATTCTAGAACATCAAACAAAACGTATTATGATGGATGTATCACTTTATTTCTCTATTATCCTGCTTAACTAGCATTTAAAAAATATTGGGGAGAAATCATCCATTAAATCAATCCTAAAGGTCCCCCCCCCCTCCCATTTTCGCCGCCCCAACTATGGTCAAGGAGCAAATAAAGCGATGTTCGCCCATGAACTATTCATTTTTAGTACATTCCATAGAACTCATTGTCTATAATTATTACACCTTTCTGATCAAACAGTCCTTGTAATATGGGTACATGATCGTTAACTTGACGCCTCATTAAACGTCCACAAATCAGGAAAAATGTGTTAGTTATTGAATGAAAACATGATGTCAGACAAAAGCATGAAATTATCGACGCTCGCATGACGCATGACCGAGGCGCATGCGCAATTAATGACTCTGAACAGGTTTCAGAATCTTCGGAAAGTTTTTATGTGTGCGCGCAAGGTGAATTCAATACTAGTACGCCTATGCATTCGTCTCTCTCGCGCTCTGGCTCGCAACAGAAGTTTAGAACTCATCGCTCGCTTCCACAAGTCGAGTGTAGCGCTCTCCGAAAACATCACGCTTAGAAAACTGGGAAGATCCATTCGTCTGTCATACTTTGTGGTGGCGGAATATATAGTGAAAAGTTTTTTCACTCACAGTTTCGTTGTTGAAGGTTCTAGAGCTTCAAGCAAATTGATAATCTTCTAGTTGCGAAGCCAACATTAACAAAATGGCAGACACAGAAATGGGAATTAACCACGAAGTGGAGATGCCGCGGTCGGAGAGCAAATCATTCTGTCAGAAATTCACGCAGTTTCTGTTCAACAACCTTCTCCTAATTCTTATGATCCTCTCGCTCATCCTCGGCTGCGCCGTCGGGTTCGGTGTCAAGCTGGGATCCGATCGCGACTTCACCTCGGACGAGATCAAGTTTATCAGCTTCCCCGGGACAATCTTCCTCAACATGCTGAAGGTATGGCAAGCCAGTTTCCTTTTTCAAAGATCTATTTCATATGAACAAAATACTTTTAAACTTAACATCTATACCACGTTGAGACAACCAAGTGAGACAATAAGACAATACCTGAGCATAAAATAATTAGTGATGAGTAAAAAGGGTGATAATGAGAGAGGAGAAGAAAGGGGCGGAGAGTTTGGAGGTATGAAAAGAAAGAGAAAGAGGGTACATGTTATATTTGGGGAGGAGAGAGGGGTAGGGGTTGTAGAGGTACAGGGGAGGAGATAGAGAGAGAAAGAGAGCGAGAGAGAGAGAGAGAGAGAGAGAGAGGGAGGGGGAGGGTGAGAGTGGGACTTCGAGGTAGAGTGCAACAAGACAAAATACGTGGTTCTTGTTAAGGTTTATTTTCTCGTTATCTATTTCAAGTACCTCGTCTTTAAATTTACATTTCCAAATATCATGCATGTTTATGAAACCTGTTAAATTTTTCGATGAGGTTGATGTTTCCTTTCCACTCATCAGGTTATGATCATTCCACTGGTCGTTACCAGCCTCATCGCCGGTATGGCGTCGCTTGACAGGCAAGCCTCGGGCAAGCTGGGTCTCCGAGCTGTCCTCTACTACTTCACGACCACCTTCATCGCCGTCATTCTCGGGATCATCCTCGTGATGTCGATTCGTCCAGGGGCACGCGGAAGAAGCAAGGACGAAATCGATACCGCAGGACCGGTTGAGGAGGTCAACACGGCCGATGCTTTCCTTGATCTGCTACGGTAAGTCAAGTCATCTTCACTCAACGGGGTCGCAAAGACTTTCGAGAAACAATTCGAGGGCCATTTCAACACCCCATTGTATATGCAATATAACGTATTTGCGCGGTACGTGATACGACATCGTAGTGTTTGCACATGTCAAAAGTAATGGGCAAGGCTTTCCTGAAATGCCTGAAGTTGATTTTTGAGAGTCTTGGCTATCTTGTATATGAGGGAATGCCGAATTCATTTTCTTTTCTTGTTTTTCTGTTGATAGCCTTAATCAAATGATTTGGTAAATATGGCACAAGAGATCACAACCGACCATACTACTTGTAAATCTCAATGTGACATACCTGAAGCAAACCCACCCGGCCCCTGAATGTGTGTTTTGGTGCCCTTTTGGACAGATTTTTCCCCATAATTTTTTAGTAGACATGAACAGTGTGATTGATTGGTTTTGCGGGAGGGGATCATGTCAGAGATTTTTCGTATTTGAGCCCCCTCATTGGTATAATCCTGGATCCGCCCCCTCCCATTATAGTTAGTGATTTCATTTCCATATTTCATTTCGACTGTGGAATGAGTTAATGTGACTTCTTCGTCGGCCGTTTTTATGGATAGAAAGCTGAAACCTTTAAAACAAAACTAGAAGAAGAGAAAGTGAAGTAGATCAATCATATCATATTGATTGATTGATTGAAGGTTTATATTGAATATTATCCATTCTCGCAGTCCAAAGACTGAATTGCAACGGTTACAACAGTTTACAATGTTTATACATGATAAGTACTGTATTATAGGGACATTATCTTGAAATGTATTCCTTTATGGGCATCTAGTCAGTTAGAAACTTGTTCATCGCTTCAAGTTCCTTTCTTTCCTTTTTTATCAATAAGCATTTCCTTGTACACAGCCAATGTGCTATTATTATCATAAGTGTCCGGCCTTCCAGTAAAACAAAAGTGAAACTGCCAATGATTATACGTTATTCTTTATAAATAAACCTGTAATGAAGATATTAAATATGCTAAATGAACCCATGTCACTTTTAAATCATAATTATGTGGATCTCCGTAATGTAGGAAGTGGGGAAATGATAAGGAAATGCGTCAAATATATTTCATCGAAAAGGGACGAAGAACTACGATAACATTAAAGGAAGGTTTCCAAGTAGTTCAACTTTCATACTCGTTTACAAACATCACGTGACGTCAGCTGTTGTACACTTGTTGTTATCTTAGCCTGAGTGAAACATTAGGGGGCACTTGGTGTAACGTGGGCCCAGCCATTTAAGAGGGCACCTGTATCATTGGCGGGCCAGCGCTGGTCGTACTAGGGGTGTAGCGTGGGTCCTGTCATAGAATAAAACTTATACATAATGTTTATGCCGCTTTTTACTATTATTTAATTGCATCAATTTGCTAATCTTTGGATATTGTGATGGTTTATTAGATCGCAACTTTTAACTCGATTAAAACAAAAGGTCTTGTACATATTCACAATACAAGTGCGGAATCGTATTTTAATCCTGAGATGGAGTTTTGACGCACAATATAAGGTTCTTTTACCAATGAAAAGGATGTACCTTGAAGAAGAAAAAATCATGCAGCTATCGTTCTTTCATTGAATACTAAAAATCATTGAAAATAGAATTATAAAGATACAATCAGAACGCATTTGAAATCTCGATGATGCATTTAAAAAGAAGACAAAGGAGTGGTACCTGTTTACCTTGCGAAAAGTTTGTCTATTTAGCATTCTAAACCATCATAAATCTATTGTGTTTATGATGCACCTTGGCCCGTGAATCTTGTCAACAACAACAACCAGAGAATTGCATTTCGTAAGATCCAATACTCGGCCATATTCTTGAACCCAAAGTTCCTCTTTATAATAACGAATCATAAAATACACAAATTCTGAAAAATGTCAATACTCGAGGCCTGGTGAAACAGAACGGAGCTTGCCGAGTCAACTATATAGGTACCCCTTGATCCATGAAAGAAGAGGGAATTAATCATTGCTTTGAAGTCATCAAACAAACGGAATTTCGAATGCATTTGTATTCAATACCAATAGTTTTACGATTGCACTTTTGTCGTAGTTTGACCTTTCAAATCATATATTCAAGGTTTGCAATCACACATGCCCTTTAATTCAAAAGTTGGCATTGAGAATCCAATAGTTGTCTTTCATTTTTGTTCTTCTTTCATTTTGATATTTTAACCTTTGAATGGATATTATTTGCATGTTAAACTGATATTGAAGCCTTTTACAAATTGTCTGTCTCTATGTGCATGTGTGTGTCCCCCTCCCATCGCTCTCTCTTTCTCAATCTTTCTCACTTTTTAGAGAGAGAGAGAGAGAGAGAGAGAGAGAGAGAGAGAGAGAGAGAGAGAGAGAGAGAGAGAGAGAGAGAGAGTATCTTCCTATAAGGATATGAAGTCGAATGTTTGGAATATTGTCTATTTCCGTGTTGGTAGGAAGAAGAGCATCGCTGCAACAATGGTTGTGGTTATGGATTCTTTTTATTTAAATCTTTAAATGAAACTGAAAACATTTGTAAAACATCCTGTTTCATAATAGAATCATTCGAAGGTCGATATGAACTCTTGAACTGCAGCAAAAAGGATTTGAAACCTGAAGGAAATTGATTACCTTTACTAGAATTATTGTATAAAACAATCAACACTTCTATCTAAAGCGAGATGACATCAGTGTGTGAAGAGGGGGGGGGGGGGGGTGGGGGGGGGGGGGGGGTTAGACGCTGAGAAAAAAAAAACTTTTCATTATACTGCTTTACCATGAATATAATCTTGATTAACCGCATAGATCAAGTACAAAGTTAAACCGTTGTGTATATCGCATAGCAAGTGGTGGTATATTAACATGCCTATGCGCTTCCAAAGAGGTTGGATATTAAAGATAAAGATCAGTTCTAGTCATGCGATTGCATTGTGAAAGAAACGTGGAATCGATCAGAAAAGGTTGATCATCTAGCATATAAGTATTGGTGTGTACTGCAAGGTTCTGGAATCATCAAAATGATAAGAAATTTGGTCCAGTCTTGGTAAAGTTAAAAGCGCTGTACACAGAAAGATGTATATGGGACTACGCGACATGTGGGCGATATCTATCAGGTCCAAATAGATATACTAATTTACCAAATATATCAATTACTAGGCGGCTTCTCGGCTAAATTTGTATCATCACGTATTAGTCAAAACATATTCTTTCAAATGATTGGTAATAAGAGCTTCCATTTCACTTTTTTTTGAGAGGGAGGCGTTTCCAAAACTAGTCTTTACCTTTAATAGTTCCATACAGCTTAAACCCCGGCGGCTCTCATCACCGCACATGCAGTGTATTTCAAGGAAAAAATCCTACCAGGTACACCTACTTAACACCTGGGTGGAAAGAGAAAACTGTAGATAAAGTACTAGGTACTTAGGCACCGAGCAGAGATTCGAACCCCGAATCTGTCAGTTGAAAGTTCAGCTACCACGATTGACCAAATGCCCGAATTAACTTCGTGCATGGATGATACACTAAATGTCAAAGATAAGGTTTTGTTCTCAGCTGGTTAGGGTTAAACATAATTTGTGAGCTTTCTCGTTCTTTGTGTGTCAGTTTTGGGGGAAATTATCTGTAAATGCCCCCTTTAATAGAAGGGATTGTTCTGCAAATACCCTCAAATTGAAAAAAATGACGAAAAATATCTCAAAAGTTTGCAGCAGATATTAAACGCATATAATTATGTATGATTGGATCCATGTCTTTTCCCTTTTTTATCATTTCAAAACTTCACAGCATACACCAACTCCGATGTACTTTTTCCCAATCGTTCCAGACATTTTGTCTCACAATGTAATCGCATGAACAGGAATCGTATTCATCTTTAACTGTAAACAACTTTTTCATTTCATTTCATTATTGTCATGTCCAACAAAATACAAATATCAAGATATTGAATACAATGCAGTTCTAGGAAAAAGTCGTATGATAACTTTTTTTTTCTTTTTGTCCTTCCAATTCGTGTACTAAATCTTTTGAGAAATAAAACATATGGAGAGCATAGACAAATTTAATTGAAGAGTAAAGTTCAAATCTATTTTGCAGACTTCGTGAATTTGTTTTGAAAAAGAGACGGCACTCCTCAAATTCCATTGAATAATGGCTTAGTTTGTATGCATTCGTCCATTTCAATTGTATCTCGTCACCATTTATACGGGACTTTTCGCTGTCTGTACCGCAATGAAATGCCCCCAACTTTGTGCATTGTACCTAGCAATCGAATGCTATATTATTTACTTTTCTCACATAATTTCAAAACACTGATTGCTGTTCCCGCGTGCATTTTACGCCCCAGATCAACTGCTTCTATTATTGCGTATCGTGATGAAGCAATAAATAAAGATCAAAGTCTAGTATCTATCAAAATGTTCTTACATCTTTAGTGTTTTTTTTTACAATTCGTAAGTTGTGAAAAGATGTTTATGAGAAGCAGGAGAATTTTTTTACAATAAGCAGAATTATGGGCAATAAATCTTATGTATCATTCTTTTTTTTTTTTGTATAAACGCATCCTAAAATGAGTTCTAAATGTAACATGCTATATGTAATGATGTACTATACAACATGTGAGAAATATGAAAATAAACTGAAACTGAAACTGAACTGAAACTGAAGGTTAAGAAAAACGCAGCAGAGCTGAAGCTAGATTCTGTTTATTGAGATAGCCATGTTAATATGTGCATATTGCATGAGATTGTGAAGGTTTGGTCTTTAAAAAATAAAAGTATGTGAACAAAAATGTATTTAAACAACTTGGATGGTTGATGATAAATTTCACTTTTATCGAATATATTTCAGCAGATATGGCAAGCCAATTGAACATTATATATGTCGCTGTTGTAATAAAGACAAATCATGTTAATTTTGAGTTTTGTTGTCACTGCACTTGTCACATACTTGTAGACCCATTCAGGGATATGTTACTATCGCGTCTCTGGCCTAATTATTAAAACTCCTGAGAGCAAAAGAAAGACGAAAGTCAGTAAATTGCCTAAAACGCGGAAGTGCAATTCTATTGAGAAACGTTATGAGATTGTTATGACTGGTAAAAGTAATGCATTGATAATAACAATAGTGGTGATAGCTGCATACGTCACAATAAATGGTACCAGGCACTGCACTCTGGCACTCGGAATGTCTGCGCATGCAGGGGGAAAACCTTCTCCTCAAACAATGACGTCTGATCACCATAACCAGTTTCTATTCAGCACCCTTGTGCATCACAAAAGGAACTTGGAGCCGAGTAGAAGTAAAATCAAATATTTATTCAATCTTACAAACATTAGAAGAAAAGAATACTCCCACCATTTATCAACATGTCACTCTCTGTTCAAATTGATTTATCTTATTTCAAAAAACCACAGTAAACTCTTCTGTATCTGCATCCGGGTATGCAGGGAAGGTTGAGTTTTGGAAAAGATGACAAATAATATTATTGCGAGATTCGTGTCAGTTTAGAAGTACATGTATTGATGTCTGCTGAGACGGATTGTTCTTAAAATGCCCCCAAAGTCGGAATATAACAAGAAATAGCTGACAAAACCTCGTCCAAATGTGTGTGTGTAGTCCCATATGCCCATTTCGGTGTGCAGGGCAAGTGATTTTCAGCAAAATTTATATCATTTTGATCTTTCCAATAAACACAATCCATTCTTATGTCGTATACACAATCAGCCTTTCCCAATCGCTTCCTCTCTCTCTCTCTCTCTCTCTCTCTCTCAAAATAATATTATTAGTCCAGCATTGCCAGAACTCAGCGCTATATTCATGTTATTCGCTCTACATAATCTTTAATCTTTAAACCACGATCCTTTTCAACAGTTCAAACAAAAATAGTAGGAGGTTGAAAAGTCACAGTATCATGTCTAAAATGCATTTGTAATTGTTTCACTTCCTTGACTTACGTCCTTGTAATCGCATAAATAATACAAATATCATGACAAAGTAATAAAAAGGGGAGAAATAATGCCCACTGTGAAGATAAATACATGCACTGACTTAAAAACGTGTTTTGTTTGCATTTTGTATTACGCATGGAATATAACACAATAAAAAAGGCATGATACACAGTAGTGTTGTAGACGAGGCCCAAAGCCTCAATGCTAACGTATCAAAGACCAAGCCATGAAACATATAGGCCTTATGAATAGTCCTTCCTATTTGCAAGTTGACTAGAATAAAAAGAGAAAATTAAAAAACAAAACAGGGAAAGTTTCATCAAAATCGGATAAAAAATAAGAATGTTATGGAATTTTAAACTTAAGCATAATGAAACAGTGCTATGTATCACATTAGCTGTATTAGCAAGTTGGTGACGTCAGCTCCTCACTTTTCTTCATCCGTTTTGTACATATAAATCTAACATAAATGTCACTTTTCTTCTCTGGAGTGTAAGACTTGGCTTGAATCCTCATGGAATATGTGCAAAATCACCATCACTGTAACTTATCGTAACATAAAGGAAAAATTTGATACAGGTGTATGGGAAAATAAAATAAACAAAACATCGAAACTGCCCGTTAAGGCCCCTCAAGGTCTTAGCCGTGAGCACTGATACATATTTATTCTTCTTTTGTCATCGAGATTTGCTTTTTTTTCTTGGCATTGTGCCGTACATAATTTGTACTCACCGAGGTAGACTTGTATCTCACAACCGCTATACGCTATATGTTCCACTTGCAATTTATTGACTTATTGCTGTTCTAAACGTTGTTTTCCTACAAAACATGTTGGTATAGGCCTATATAGATTATTTGTTTTAACTATAAATTCAATTATCTCATTTACCCCGGGTAGCTTCTTCTGTATTAATACAGATACAGATACAGATGCGATAATCATTACCCTGTCATTGCCAAGTACCCATTTATAAATATACCGATTAATACATTTGTATACAAATTTCTTTATTCCATTGTGATTTAAATTCCTTCTCTAAACTACGTCTTTCTCCACTGCTACGGTTTTTCATCTACAATGTCTATTTTATCTGGAACCTATAATATACCAGCACTGCTTTTTAAATAGGTTTCTCATATTCTACTTAATCTATCATATGAATTGAGTATCATTGAGACGTGCTCATACTACATGTATGATATATATGTATATATATATATATATATATATATATATATATATGAATATAATTTGGATTGTATATGTCTGTCTATATTTAGTGTAAAATGTGGAACAAATAATCTTGAAACTTAAAACTATAAACCTGTGTCGGAGAGGGAAAATGTGGGTGAAACATCTTGTCCAATGATGTAAGCACCAAGCAAAGATCGAACCCGGGACCTTTCATAATGAGAGGATAGATATCTATTAATGTTAAATTGTAATAAATTTACGTTGGTACTCTGCTTCCTTTAACAGAATGATGTTTCCTCCAAACATTATTGAGGCCACCTTCAGAAGCGTATTGCTCCGTATTAAATCATGAACTTTTGAACCATGTACATGAGGTTAAATTGTTCCGAACACCATTATACTATCTATTAATGTTAAATTATAATAAATTTACTATGGCATTCTGCTTCCTTCAACAGAATGATGTTTCCTCCAAACATTATCGAGGCCACCTTCAGAACCGTAAGTAATCTGTTCATCGTTCAATATACTAATTCATTAACTGAAATGATTAATTACCAAGCTAGATTGTATTTATTTACTTTTGGTTTATTACAATTTGCGATAACTCAGTTCTTGATAATATAGAATTCTCATTCGTTAACTACAGGACAGGAAGTTATTCCTTGATATCAATAATCGAATTCTTGAAATCATGAATTCAAATTTTGGATATCACGAAGTAGGATTATGTTAAACCAACTTGCCAGATGCGTGAGACCCGGTGCTGGGAAAATGGCGCGAATTCTAAGGCCACCTGACCGAGGGAATCCAACCGTGGAACTAAATGACCATAATACCATGATAACCACAGAATCAGGACGAAGTTGATAAATCTTTCCAATCGTAAAAAAATGTATTGTATCGACTGTTTGAATAGACAAGTAGATTTGTTTATTCTGTTCCAATCATAGGTCTATTCTTCACTGGGGAACCAAAACGGGGTTCAACGCTGATGTTTTCACCATGTTTGGGACAAGTTCCAAGGATGATTTATATTTAGCGACAAATTCTTTTGAGTTTTGCATTTGTAGCCTCTATTCATGAGCCAGCAATTTATCCTACCTAGTTCCACATACATTTAACAGATGATATAGCTCTGCATTAGAAGTTTGGTAAATTAATTCATTTCATTTTATTTCATTTATTAATTTCCACATTCAAAGTTAAGAACAAGAAAATGCAATATAATGTATACAAAATACATGATAAACCAATTACAGAGAAACAAACAATGTATATCAAAAATATTCAACAATTGAACATCAAAAGAACAAACGAAAAGAAGAAACGGTAAGAACTATATCTGCATGCGCACTTGGATATTTGAATGTGGGGGGGGGGGGGTCACCCAAAAATAAAGGCTTATCTGGGGCAATCCCAGTGTAAAATAATATAAGGAAAATCATGGAGGAGAGAGAGAAAAAATGTACATGCATAACCTCGTTTATTGCACAGCACATAAGATTTATATATATTTTTTTTTAAATTTCATGGCAAATTATTGGCAACGATTCCCTATAAGAAGAACATGGTAAAATTAGAGTTTAACAAGTTTGAAAAGAAAGCAAAGGCTCAAAGCTGGGACTGTCAGGGACGTGAGAAATGGTCCAGAGCAAATGCTTAAAACAAATTTTGTTTAGAGGGATGTAATCTCGAAACGCACTTGTTGAGACTTCGTATTGATTACCAACGAATATTTGACTCTTTGACACAGAAATCTTTTTAAAAGATCAAAGCGATTTAAAAAAAACTTGAACCACTCTCAGCGAAATTGACAGAAATCAAAATCTCTCTTTTTCTTCAAAATCAGGTATGTGCAATCAGTATCGGTCAGTCATTTCATGGTCATTCCAACTATCGTTACCATTGTATCAATTTATTGAATGTTTTGTCTTATCAACACTACCGTAGTAGGGGATGCTCTTTGGATATGTGGCGCTGAACTTGTTTATAATCCAAACTACCCGAATTCATTTGATCAGGAAATCTACCGGATATGAATCTAATCCCGGCAAATGACAGAGATTTGTTTAAATACTGAACATCGACTTGTAATGAGCGGGCTACCCTCCCTGCCTAATCGGAAGGCAGTGTGGTGTGATCCTAATCCTAATTAAAGTTCCTTCGACGACCGCATCAATTAACTTGGTTGAAAGTGCCTGGAAAGGTTCAACCCAAACACCAGGGCCCCATTTCACAAAACTTGTCATCAGTGACAAATGACAGCTCTTGTTATATAAGCTAGTGAAATCCTTGCTTCTGATTGGTTATCAACAGATTTGTCATTGATTTTTGTCATGTGTCATTGAAAAAAGGATTTGTGAAACAGGTCACTGGTCCTGCGTTGTGCACTGATCTGGGCCTGTAAAGTGACCCAAGAAAAAGAAGGAGAAAAAAGAAGGGAAAGGGAAGAAGAAGAACAATAACAAGAACAAGGAGAACAAGAAGAACTATTAGAAGGAGGAGGAGAAAAAAAGAACAAGAACAAGGAGGAGGAGGTGGTGGTGGAGGAGGAGGAGGAATTGAAGGAGAAGGAGGAGGAGGTGGTGGTGGAGGAGGAGGAGGAATTGAAGGAGAAGGAGGAGGAGGTGGTGGTGGAGGAGGAGGAGGAATTGAAGGAGAAGGAGGAGGAGGTGGTGGTGGAGGAGGAGGAGGAATTGAAGGAGAAGGAGGAGGAGAAGAAGAGGAGAAGAAGAAGCATTTGTACATTTTAGCCATAATCCGCCAATTAACATGCATAATAATCTTTCATTTTCTAAAAAAGTTTATGGTAACAATTACTACTTTTCTGTTTACCGTATCAAATGCCAAAAATTAAATGGACTATTGCACATGAATTATATCAAACTTTAAAGCCCCTCTCAAAAAGTGTTGGGAGCCCCAAATTCGCAAAAAAAAATGACGACAAAATTTCACTTAAATTGTATCATAATGTGAAAGAGGAAGTCATTTAAGAAAAAGCAACGTTCATTGACATGCATGATCAGAACAAAGGCTTACATTTCTGATAGATTTCATCAGACGCGATTGAAAATTAATTGACTTGAAGAAAAAAAATCCACAAATAACTATAACGAATCCATGTTAGTTATCTGTAATCATAATAGAGTCCTCCAAATACATACTACAAATTTCCATCTTGTTTCCTTTCGACAGCTGGCAATTCTTGAAACAAGTACGATTAGGATTTCTGTCAACAACACCGCTTAAAATTTCAACCTTTTTAATACTATTTAGAACTCTTAAATTTATACTAAGACCTTAATAACGGAAACACTTTATGCTACACTGACACATGATGAAATTAATGTCCATATTTATATCAACATCAAAAATCAAGTCATTTATTAATTTTGAAAATAGCCTTGGATAATAATAGATGACAACGGATTGAATTTGTACAAAGACAAAGGCTTTGTCCAAATTAGTTGACAATCTAATCTAAACGAGCTGTAATACACAGGAAACGCACAAGATGACAATTCAAGAAGCGTAATTAATTAAATAATTACGGACCGGGTGCGAATTTGATTCACAAAGCATCCAACAAATATTGACCCGGTAAACCCCCCAAAGAATTAGTATGTTAGGATCAAACAGGGAGTTCGAAAATGCTTATGATTTATTCCGTCTTTGATCTAAAATGGTATTAAGATATAATACAATGAGCCTTTATCGGGGTACTGCAATGGATTTCTTAAATCGAGTGTGTTGAGTTGGAAAGTGATTAAGCCAGGAAATGTGTTAATTAAACCGATAATTTACTAGGATTTACAGCTGCGGTTCATTATATCGAGGGTACCTGCACAGCTGCATATAAAAGAGATCAGTAACCATAATTAGTCTCTCTCTCTCTCTCTCTCTGTCTCTCTCTCTCTCTCTCTCTCTCTCTCTCTCTCTCTCTCTCTCTCTCTCTCTCTCTATCTCTTTCTCTTCTCTTCTCTTCTCTCACAATTATATTTCCCTCTTTATGTGCATCATTACTATGTTAATGTGTATGATTGTATGTAATTGCTTCATCATTTTATTCTTCTACGAAATAAGAACAGAAATGATATGGTGTATTCGGGGGAAGGGGTCTTGAAGAAAAATAATGCACGAATAACTTTAATGCATCCATGTTAGTTATCTCTAATCCTATAAAGTCCTCCAAATAATACTTACTTCCATCTTCTTCTTTTTCGACTGCTGGCAATTCTTGAAACAAGTACGATTAGGATTTCTGTCAACAACACCGCTTAAAATTTCAACCTTTTTAATACTATTTAGAACTCTTAAATTTATACTAAGACCTTAATAACGGAAACACTTTATGCTACACTGACACATGATGAAATTAATGTCCATATTTATATCAACATCAAAAATCAAGTCATTTATTAATTTTGAAAATAGCCTTGGATAATAATAGATGACAACGGATTGAATTTGTACAAAGACAAAGGCTTTGTCCAAATTAGTTGACAATCTAATCTAAACGAGCTGTAATACACAGGAAACGCACAAGATGACAATTCAAGAAGCGTAATTAATTAAATAATTACGGACCGGGTGCGAATTTGATTCACAAAGCATCCAACAAATATTGACCCGGTAAACCCCCAAAAGAATTAGTATGTTAGGATCAAACAGGGAGTTCGAAAATGCTTATGATTTATTATAAAAGAGATCAGTAACCATAATTAGTCTCTCTCTCTCTCTCTCTCTCTCTCTCTCTCTCTCTCTCTATCTCTTTCTCTTCTCTTCTCTTCTCTCACAATTATATTTCCATCTTTATGTGCATCATTACTATGTTAATGTGTATGATTGTATGTAATTGCTTCATCATTTTATTCTTCTACGAAATAAGAACAGAAATGATATGGTGTATTCGGGGGAGGGGGAGGGGCTATAACAAGGGTCAAGGAAATATTAATTTCAACCATACCTAAGCCAAAAAGAATTACGCAAAATGAGGCAGTTTCTGCTGCAAATGATCATTTTGAAAAGTTGGGAAAGAAGTAGCTGAAATAAACCTGTAACATTTCTCCCGTCACATGCCTTTCTAGCATCGTGGGGGGGGGGGAATATTTCAATTTCTTGGGGCTTTTTGTATTGCTCTTCATTTCGCTTACTAGTAGAAACTATCACTAAATTTACTCTGTTGTCCCCGTTTTCGTTATTAGCAATACTCCTATAGTTATAAAATCTCACCAAATATGAGATTGATCACATCATTTGAATGTAGGCCTGTCAAATTGACATGCTCAGATGTCATGCTCCGACATCATTATGCTCCTATGACAATTTATCTGCTGGGTTAGGGTTAGGGCTAGGGTTGCAAATGGGTTTTTGGATAGGTCTAGGATTAGCATGGTTAGAGGTAGGGTTACCGTTTAGTTTAACGTTGAATTAAAGAATTCGGTTAGGGTATCGTGGAGCAATAATTATTTCTACCGGAGCATGTGCCACATTCTGAAAAGGTACATGCTATATCAATAATTAATCTATTTATCTTCCTCTAACCATTTTAGTACAAGACACGGCAGGTCACACAGATCGTCGAGCCGATGACGACGATGCCGATGATGATGAACAGCACGGACATGATGGCGACGGACTCGATGATGAACTCTACCATGATGGGCCCGATGACAATCACCGTCTCGCAAGGTGGCTACGAGTTCAAGTCCAACATCCTCGGCCTGGTCATTTTCTCCTGCGTCTTCGGGGCCGTTCTGGGCCGCCTGGGTGAGAAGGGGGAAGCCTTCAAGGCCGTCGTCGAGTCCATCATGGAGTGCATCATGGTCATGGTCGGCTTCATCATCTGGTAAGTTGTAAATCGGTAATGCGACGTGGTCCGACAAATTACTCAGGGATTTGTTTCATTAAAGCAAAGTTTTGTTTATTTATTTGTTTATAATTATTTTATTGTTCATTCACTGCAAAAATAAATAATAATAGAATTATACCATATACATAATTTGTCATAGGGTTAGGGGTTGGGTTTTGATTAAAGAAAGGGGACAAGGGCTTGGGTTTCGATCAAATAAAGGAGATTAGGGCTTGGGTTTCGATTAATATACAGGTTAACAATGTTGCAAACTCCATGGGTTCTGTAGACACATAACAAGATCGCTAAAGCTTTCGGAAAATTAGACTGTTGATATTTAAAGCCTTACGCTTCACCTATCGAAATGTGCAAACATTACAATATCATATCAAGCAATCCAAACATGATTTCTATAAAGGGATGTATAATAGGCACTGGAATTTCTCTTGAGTTGGTTTCTCGAAAGTCTTTGTGATTGTGTCGTAGGGTATACCTTTGATGGTTATTGTGCATGTAGTTAGGCTAGTTCTTTAGGTATAATGCATGGATTCATGGTGTTGATAACCAATACTCGTGTAAATATTGAGTTCAAGAATAACCTCTACAGTTTAAAGATAAAGTTGATTTCTGGTCATGCGATTGCATTGTTAAAGAAACGTTGTGGATCGATTAGAACAGGTTGATCATCTAGCATATAATTATAAGTATTGGTGTGTACTACAAGGTTCTGAAATCATCAAAATGATAACAAAATTGGCCCAATCTTGGTAAAGTTACAAGCACTGTACACAGAAAGATGTATATGGGACTACACGAAAATGAGGCATACAAATCCGTCCCAATCTTTATGATGTTTCATGTCATATTTAGAACATTAAGGAATTTGAAAAGCTACGCTTTTCGGGGAACATTTTGTTATCTGATGTTCTTCCACACTTGCATAATACAATGATAACGCTTACAAATTATTTTTCACCTGTTCCCAGAACGTAACCTTCTCTTTAATAATCATTCTTGGAATATGTTTTTTTGCTCTCTCTCTCTCTCTCTCTCTCTCTCTTCTTTCGCTAGGCTATCCCCTGTGGGTGTGTTCTTCCTGGTCTTGGGGAAGATCCTCAGCATGGACGATTGGGCCCTTGTGTTCGAGCAGATCGGGATGTACTCGGCCACCGTCATCTTAGGCCTCCTCATCCACGGGTTCATCATCCTACCCCTCCTCTACCTCGTCTTCACCCGCTCCAACCCCTTCGTCTTCATCAAGGGCGTGGCCCCTGCCATGGTGACGGCTTTCGCCACCGCCTCAAGGTAATCCCCCAGGGCTTTCACTCTAACGATAATACAGTCAAACCTGTCTACAGCGACCGCCCAAGGAAACACAAAAAACTGGACTTTGTAGACAGGTTACTTTAGTACATGTTTCAGTAAGAAACAATTTTCAAGGGAAACAGGTGGTCTTTGAAGACAGATAGTCACTAAAGCAGGTTTGACTGAATTGACTTCAGGGGGGGGGGGGTGTTCACAAAACTTGCATCAGTGACAAATGACAGATTTTGTTATAAGCTAGTGAAATCTGATTGGTTATCAGTAGATTTGTCACTGACTTTGTTGTTGTTTTTATTTCCGTATAATAAAAAAATCAGATACAAATACAAATATACGGCTGGTTGCCCATATTCAGCTGCAACTATAATTGTTGCTGCTGGTCTTCCATGGGGCCAGTTTACAATATACAAAATATACATAATATTACAAATTAACAAAATAAATAATTACAAAGTATCAGTCGAAAACTTAATACAAATACTTAAAGGGAAAAAAAATGACTTTGTCATTTATCTTTGAAAAAAGACTTTGTGAAACACCCCCTGGTAATCATAATTGATTGGATAATTGATTTATTCATTTCTATATCATCTTTTCAAACATAATGCACGTAATCACGTGCATTAATGTGACATAGATTCATATACATTAAGACATTCCTGTCGTGTGGAGTAATTTGTCAACCAATTCATGTATGCAGGTAAATGAAAACTGACATGGATATTCTGAGAAAGTATAAAATGGAATGATATGATAATCAAAATTGAAGTGTTTGCGTCTGTTTTAGACTGTTTAACGCAGTTTGCGTAGCAACCAAGAAAACGGAGTTCTTGGGATGGTTAGCACAGATATTTGTTGTCTTATTCTCGAACTTAAATGTACTCTGTAAGCTTAGTTTTTTTCGTTGATGATTATCAGTATTCGTTATTTGTATAATTCATTTGTTCTATTGCAATACTCTATGGTTTATATATATAATTTTAATTGTTGATAAATAAAGTGGAAATAGAGTGGACAAATAAATCAATCACATCAAATCAAATCAAATCGAATCAGAAAACGGGTAACTAAAGCAAAATATGCTGTAGTAACAATGACATGCATTTTTTAAATATTGATACCATATTTATAACCATGATGTCAACACCTGCTAATAGTGCAAGTTACACAAACATGGTTCATGTCACAAGCAATGTGGCCTTGAACACGTGTCTATCATATCAAGTTCAAAGTACTTTATGAATATTGTCTAAAACTCTTTTGCCTCAAAGTGGCTGGTGTTAATGTTAATGTAAATGTGTCTATGTTAATCTTGTTATTCATCAAAATGAACTTTGTGTTTATTGTCAGAGTGCTATCATGCCCAGCGGGTTCCTTAAGAAATACTAATTGAGTTTCGTCGAAGCGTGACGTCACAAAGTCGACGAAACATAACGGTGCTTTGTGGTTGTCCCCTTTACCTATAAACTACATTCTGTTCAACATGGCAATAATAGAACGTCCTTGAATAGTAGCATGCTCTTCACAATATTTCATTGGGCTTACTTCGTTCCGCCGGGTCTTCGCGTCGGTTCGGGTAGTCGGTTACAGGACATTTCGTGAAAACGTATCCCCCCCCCCCCCCCCAATATTCACGAGAAGTCATTATGAAGGGTCAGTAGGAATAAGATTCCGTCTTTTACTTGTTGTCTTCTTCTGTAAGTTGGCAAGGTGCCTGCTCTCTGTATTGATATTTCTTTCTGATGGGCGTTGCTTATCACTGGTTGCCTTTTGTAATATCTTAAAGCCACACTGTCCTACTTGTAGCCACTTGTTCCCTCTATAAAGAAAACAATGCCTAATCGGTTACCATGATCCTCTTTTTCTTATGTTAATTGAGAGCTGAGTTGATGATATAACTACCTGTCCAGTGACCTTGCAGAGTAGTCTGATCCCTCCTATACAATAGTACAGATAAGCTTTAATACTAGTAATCGACAACTGGTCTTTGATTTTTTTCTTTTTTCAAATGTGGATTGGACATGAGTACATTTCAAGTCATTTATGTTTTATAATGATCCATCATAATTTATGTTGATACTATGTATATTTCATTTGATATAAAAAGGACCAATAAAACATCAAATGCAAAAAGAGGCTTTTTGGTAAACATGTAGGCCTATATCTAAACGTGATGAAACCCACCAATGGTATTCTTGTTCATAACCTTTCTTTTTCTGTTTTCATTTCAGCTCGGCCACTCTACCGATAACCATCAACAGTCTTGAGACTAATAACAAGATTGACAAACGAGTAACTCGCTTTGTGCTGCCTATCGGTGCAACCATTAACATGGATGGTACTGCCCTCTACGAAGCCGTGGCCGCCATCTTCATCGCCCAGGTCAATGACTTCGACCTCGACGCTGTCGACGTCATCGTCATCAGGTACAACTTGGCAAATAATTTTTGCTGGAGTTTTAACAAAAATACCACGACTTTTTTCACGTTTTAGCTGTGATTTGTTTAAGAAAATTGTTCCTCATCTGTACGACAGTTACAATATGGTTTCACTGAACAAGAGCTACCAATCATAGAAATCTCTTTGGATGTTATTTTTAAATTGATTTCAGGGTTTAAAAAATCTTTTTGTGCCAAAGTTAAACCTATCTAGCTTCGTTCAATCTCTCCCTTAGTTGACCGAAGAACCAAATTATAACCCTTTTCACACTTAGAATGTCAACATCCACAGGTAGATTGGGTATCAATGCCATGTTCAAGTGCCCTTTAAATATGTAACGATTCTAACCCCTTCATCGTGAGTTTCTCTCTGTTTATTTTTTATCTCCCAGCATCACAGCTACACTGGCTAGTGTTGGAGCAGCAGGCGTGCCACAAGCTGGTCTGGTAACCTTGGTGATTGTACTCAACGCTGTGGGTCTGCCAGCCGATGACATCACTCTCATCCTCGTCATTGATTGGTTCTTGTAAGTTTCGTAATTAAAAAGAAAATGATTCCTGTTTGGCGCGGATGGAAAATTAACGGAGGGCCCTGTTCCTTTCATTTATGCCTTCATCTGGAAACGTCGGAGTACACAGCCTCACTCTCCTCAGCATTTCTTTAGATTAGGCATATAAAGCCTTGGACATTGTACTATCCATATTATCAAGGATAGTTTTAACTTACTAATTTGTTTATTTCGATTATAGAATTTAGGAAGGTTCATGAAATATGAGACTAAGTTGTTGAAACAACGACAGCAACAGAAACATAGAAATCAATTTGACATTTTCTCGAAGGTTCTAGATAAGAGATTTACTGTTACGTGTTTCTGTTTGGGTTTTCACATTAGTGTTTCACATACCAACATTATTATGAGCTCTTGCAATCCATTTTCTATTCTTATGATTCAACGCGCTGTTTAACAAATTGAATACATCAAATCTATCTATTGGTGAAAATTAACGATTCGAGGGATGTCATCATGACGTTTTTTGACCTTTTTCCCCAGGGACCGAGTTCGTACCACCGTGAACGTAGAGGGCGACTCGTTCGGTTGTGGCATCATATACCATTTCACCAAACAGGACTTCGACCGCATTGACCAGGAGAAGGCGCTGACCAACGGTTACAAAGACGAGAAGAAGGTCCCCTTCGACCAGATGGACGGTAACATCTCTGGGGATGATACACGCTTGTAAAGCGACATCGTTATCGGTCTCGAAGACGACTTCGTATCCGGATTCAGAATAAGTCACTATTTTAGTTGATGAAAACGAAATCAGAGATTTTACCCTAAACAAAAGCAAACTTGATTTAAACTTCTGGCAATCTACCCCTAACCCCCCCCCCCCTCCCCCCCCCCCCAAAAAAAAAAAAAAATTAAAAAAAAAAGGATAAGAATAGTAATAATAACATGATAATGATGATGATGATAAAGATAAATAAAACAAATTTGTTTTGTAACCCTTCAAAATCAGCTCACCGTCTTCCTTGAATAAATGAATATATATTTTATAAATCTTACATAAGAATATAGTAAGATGAAATAAAGTGATAAGATAAGTTCACAATTATATTAAAAAACATTTGGAACTGGAGGAATGTGAAATCCAGTCGAGCAAAAGAATTACCACTATCATTTTTCAAAAGTTGGTCATATGAGACGCAAACTTTGTAAATACAATTTTTCTGTTACGTCTTCATGTTATATGTATTTTGGTAAATTAGGATTTAATATAAATGGAATAAGTCCCAGTCCCATAAGTACTAGTGTGTGTCAGATGATACAGGCCTTTACATGTGACCACAACAGGAATTGTCGATGTCTTTGTATTTTAATCTTTATTTTTTCTATCACTATTTCTATCAGTTTTCGTTTACTGATCATAATAACGATGTATGATTATTATAATAAAGTATAATACAATATACATGTACAAGATTAAAACTTACAATCTAATTACGCACAAAAGAATTTTAAATCATTGTATTCACCTTTTATACATGGCTCAAAATAAACATTGTAAATTATCGGATTACGTTACGAATTTGATCTACGAAATATACATAAATCATGGTTGTACTCAGAATTTTGCATAATCAGTGGAATTAGAATACTTGTATTGGTGGTGAAGGAACGTAAAATAAGGCTCACTTTATTTCGTTGTAATCAACTATCTTTATCTTTAGTTACTTTTTGTTGTAACTTATAAAATAATGGGATTGTGGGTTTCTTCTACTGTACGTATTATATCAGTATGCATTGTTCTCCTTTCAAACACGATCGCAAAGACTTTCGGGTAATCAAGCCAAGAGCAATTTCAATGCCTCAGTGTATACCCACTAGAAATCCTGTGTGTAATCGCGTTGTCTTTCATCCGATGTATTACTGTCTGTGTATTATAATATAACGTTTTATATGAGAGTATATGTATATATTTTGCTATTTTCTTATTTTCTTTACATAGTTGACATATAGGCTTCATACATAAACGAATTGAATTGAATTAAATCGCAAAGATGATGAATATTCTATCGTCCTGTTTGATTGAACTTAAGTTTTGATATAATACGATACTATTAACTAACCCTGATGTCATGATTAGTTCGTTTATCAGTCCAAATAGTTCATTCTTCTTACTTTTTCTTTAATACATACCCCTGGTTCATTCTATTTGAAATGAATTCACCCTGAAAATTTCAACTATTTAATTGGCTTGCATAAAACTTAATTACACACTACACTTTGCTGCACTTCACCAAAAGTACTGCCTATTCCGAACTTCATAAAGTTTTGTCACTCTTTTGAAACCTGCAATTATTACTTCAGAAAATGGATGAAGAAAAAAATGAAACACCGTCACAAAGTATTCTTTAATAAAAAGCAATCAGTACCATGATATGTAAGTGAGACAAACATTTCCGTCATGTCGCCCTCTTCGTTAGCATGCCAAGTAGCAGTAAGTACGATAAACCAGCAAATTGAACGACCTGTCGTATTAATACATAATTATATAAGAAATAAATTTGTCTAAATGTACGTTGCATTTGAATATTAACAACGATGTACTTTTGGCAATGTATATATTCAACAAAGATTCCCATTAATGTACGCCAATTTACTTCAAGTCGATTAATGTACATCATGTCAATTAATTTCTGATACAAATCTATTTTATCGTTTCTCGGCAGGCAAAATTCTAACAAGATGCATTATATCACGGTCTTCCATTTAGGCTCATTGTTAAGATACTTTTTCAACTATATTTCTCAAATAAAATATAATCACAATATATATTAATTAATCACGGTGTTATTATCTATATGGTGTGTTCATTTCATCAGGACGTGTAAAGGAATTGCATTAAAGTAATACTATTATAATAAATTGTTTATGGAAACAAAAAACAATTTTCTCTCATTGCTGCAGCTACTTTTGTTATTGTTGTCATGGCGTAGTGGTTCATTCACTTAACTCTCAATCCAAAGGTTGATGTTTCGAATCCCAGCCTGGCAATAATGTCCTTTCGCATTGCATTAGTCCATATTTTGCATTTCTCAAACCCAGGCGTAAATAAGATGTTGCTTCTGCTGCTTATGATGACGATAGATAGATAAATAGATACTATTGACTATAGCCGGTAAAACAAGAAATCAACAAGTATACAAACGGATCGATTAAAATTTAACTAATATGCCTTAAAACATTTAATGTTCATACAATATGGAGGCTTTCATGTTGTAATAGGCATCTAATCTACATGCTTCTCTTTACATAGGGATACAGTAGAAAGAAATCAAAATCCCGTGAAATCAATTCTTTTGGTGCAATACTTTGGGGTTGATATGCGCACATCGTAACCTTTCTCCATATTATTCACCCTGTTATTCATTTGGGAAACGTGCCCCCCCCCCCCCATGTCCCTCGTATTAACGCCATGAGCATGATTTAATAATACGAGTGTTAGTTGTTTCCCTGCAAATATGATTTGATTTGATTTTAATGATTTCAATACCATTTGTTTCATCTTTTTCCTTCGGACATAACATCTATGTATAATACTGTGATATTTAAATGTTGATGCATTTACGGTGATACCCTTTTTCAAAACAGTATATGATACATAGAACATGTAAAAACAGAGAAAAGGGAAAACTTAATGCATAATCAATATGAATTACATAAACATAATAGCGCAGGAAATAAAGCTTGATTTACTTGTAGCCCTTAGTTTAACTTAAATATAAATAGAAAAGAGGGAGAGAGTGACTTGATATTTAGATTTAGATTTAGGTTTCTAGATACAAATAAACTAGTTTATGTACTCACACCTCGGAAAATCTAGCAGATAAGTAACATCACAGGTTATAATACATGACAATAAGAATATATTAGTACATGTTTTGTACATAAATTAACAAAAATGTCACGTTTCTGCTCTGAGAATGTAAAACATGGGTTGAATCCTTATGGAAAAATGTGCAAA